TCATACCAGACTGCTTTCTGGGTGGATTCTATCTTGTTCTCAGCTGTGTCTGGGGTGGTGCTGGGGTCAGAGCACTGCTGAGCAGCAATCAATCAATCGGTGCCTCTGAGAGGTTGGCCTAGTGGCTTTGGGCTACGCACTTTGCTAAGGCAGCGACAGAGCTTTGGGTGAGAGCAAAGACATCTCATGGCAAAACCTCTGCAGACATGTCCACAGTGTAAAATACTAAGTCCATATCTTCATTTCCTATTAGTTTCCCACCCCCTCCCTTTCTATCACTATAATAAAGAAGTTCTAAAGGTGAAAGACAGATGCTCTTCCTTTAGAGAACTTTAAAGGCAAATAGGGTGTGCTGAGAAACAGAGATCCTGTCCCACTGAGGAGACTCTTGGGTGGAATCCATCTCATATGACTTTTGGTCAGTGTCAAGAAGCAGGCAGTTTAAGGGCACAGCTCACCTGGCCTGTTTTTATGCCTATTTTAGCATAAGGTAAATCAGTCCCTAGCAGTCCCCACTCCTTGGAAGAAGCTGTGAAGGCACCCAAGACAGCTGACTCAGCTAGCCATACACATGCCTAACACTGGTTGAAAACACTTTCATTGCTTTTCATGTGGTCAGTTGTAGTATCATCCTTGGACTCAACCATACCTATTTCAACCATGGAGCATGGAAGTTTCCAGAAAGTGTGCTTATTGTTGATCACAAGTCAGCTACCCAAAATCATGAAAACGCTGTAAAACTCATGATTACATGCACTGTTGCTGTCTTCTTTCTTCTCCTTTTTACTCAGCCTTTAGAATGTTTGGGTATATTTTTATCCTGCTTTCCAATCTTACCCTTCATCTCAAGGCTTAAATAGAAGGATAACTTAAACTGAGGGCAAGGAATCTTGTACATGTTTGACTGTGGGAGTTAAGTATAAACTCAGCTGCCATGTCAGTGCTCCATATCCAAAATAAGATCTGCTAGGACACTGTAGTATTTGCTAAGAGTCAGACATAAGAGTATTCTTCAGTTTTACAACTGAAGTATTACGAGCTATTTTGATATTGCAGTAAGATCTATTTGCTATGGTTGTAACCTAAAACATGAGTTGTAGTGGACTAAGGACAAGGTCAGTCAGACCCAGTGTTGCAATTACAGTCCAGAAAGGACAAGAACAGATACTCCCATTTTGCATTGTTTTGAAAGTGTCCTACTGTTTGGACTGCAAACATGCCTTCTTTAGGCAGCATTCCCCCAGTGTCAAAATGCTGTCAAAGCTGATGACACACAACATTTGCTTCACCTATCATTACAGGTAACTTATTGTGAAAGTATGAGTAAGCTCTTATGTACTGATTAGACAGGATTTTAAGTAGGAAATGTAGAAACTTGTATTGAGTAGAGACCTCAGAGGAACAAGGGAGGTTGCAAGAGGTGAATTATTCCTTAGGCTGAAAGACAAATGCTGTGGCAGCCTAAAATCCATCTCTGCACACCTTATATAGGCTGACTCTGCTGATTCAGCAGATCCCAAGACGTAGTGATCTCTTTGAGGCTTCAAGCTCCATTCTGAATATAGCTCTTACCTGTTTTCTCTGTTGAGGATTTATCACCACACTGAGTAGAAATTCTGACGGCAGAAAGACTTTTATTATTTACTTTCCCCATCCCACTCAAAGGAGAGGTTCAAAGACCTCACTGCTACCCAGGACAAACCAGTTCTTCAAGTCTGGACCTGAATGTAAGACTGGTTGTACAGTGAATCATCTGATATGAGGCTTTGGTCATAGTCTGAACTTGTAAAGGCATCTCACAAGAGGAAATGGAGGTTGTAAAATGAGAAGAAAAAGACTCAAAGTGAGAAAGGCTTGGAGGTGAAGGAAGAAAAAAGCATTGTAAAACCAACCGTAGGTTTGGCAATGGATTTACCATATGTAGGATGGAAAAGGTCCTGTCAGAGATGGACTGGTGAAGGAAAAGAAGAAAACAGCTCAAATGTTATAGAAACAGAAGCTTTTAATGTTGTTTAAACATATCTTAAAATGGCTTTTCTGTATTTTTGCAAAGTCACTGCTTCTCCTTCCTGACACCCCCTGCAAAGAACTCTTATGCAGGAATGTCCTGGGAAGATACTCTGAGGTCTCCTCACTGGCCTTTGTTAACCCTTTTCTATTGGCTATTAACTCTTTACCTGATTGGTTTTTTCTGTAAGACCCTGAGACTGTAATTGGTTCTTTTTCAATCCCCCTAAAAGCCTTATAAGCCCCCATCCCCACAATAAACTCCTCTTTTGTCCGTCCCTCTGCGTGGTTTGTGTGAGCTTCTTACGGGCTCACAGAGCCACGTGCTAGGGGGACAGGTTGGGAGAGCATAAACCTTCAGAGAACGGCCTAACACCCAGGACCTGAAGGTGCCCCCTCCAAACCATCTGTCGTATGTAGCTGCTTGGGATGTGTCAAAGGGGAGATGCTTTACTCCAGTTTCGTTACAGACGTACTGGCATTTTTTTTTCTGCCAAAATACGCCTCTCCCTTTCTGGTTTCTTGTGTGAGACAGCAGGCAAAGTCAGCACGTTGTCATAGCTCCCCTATTGTGTTGGGAATCTGTGTGTGTTGTGTCAGAGGGTCCCACCCTGTGCTGCACCCAGGCCATGCACTGATAACCCTCCTTTTCTAATCAGTAAGGAGGAGAAGTAAATGAATGGGTTTTTGCAACTTCTTTCCTGAGAAAAGCTTTTGAGCAGTTGAGAGTAGGGTATAAGCTGATCATCTAAACAGTTAGTGGATGGGTAATGGGAGCAATTTCATATGCAGACAAATACCAGCAAAATTTCTCATGCCATTGCTGTCATTCATGAGCCTCTGCAATTATCTGCATGACCTTCATACTTGTAGGTACAACTGCTAACATAATCTGTGCCATAATTGTGGCTTTTCCCTTCTTCAAGACATATAAAGAAGCACTCTGTAGCCAAGAAATAAGAAATAGGCAACTCATACAGAAGAAAAGGCTGAAAAACTGTCACTCAGTGGAAACTGCTTGTTTGCTTTTAATTTTAGATGACATATTTTTACTTTAGATACCATTAAATATAGATATGAAACATGCAGGAACTCCAGCAAATTCAGATAGACATTGCTCTATTCAGCAGGTTATTTAGCATCTTGAAATCTGGGATCTTACCAGAACTTGCTTGTGATTATGTTCAATAGCCATACTTAAAAAAAAAAAAAAAAAAAAAAGGGAAAGAAAAACCTCCGAAGTTCCGGGTATTTGCACGTGAAAGATCCTTGCCCACTGACCTATTTTGAAGAGCCAGTGTGAATGCTCATGCTTGCTTCCTATGTTATTATTGCCTTTGCCCATTTTCCCTCAGACATCTCTGACTGAATGCCTGGGCTAAGCATCTCACAGATGCTACAGCTCAGGCTTTCCTTAATGAAATCTACTCTGTGCAAAGATTTATAGCGGTGTAGTTTCTGTACATAATGCTGCTTCCAAACTCCACTTACAATAAAATTAGTTTCCATGGTCTGATTGCAGACTTATCTTTTCAAATCCTGTGTCAGCTGCGATTCCCTTACTATCTTTTATGGTCCTTTTCATACAATTTTATGTGGCCCTTTAAACTTTTCTCATGAATCATCTGTGGCTGTGGCATCCCTCCATGAAGACACCCACATTTCTCAACTTACTTATTTGTTGAGTGTGGTAGATCTAAACCATACTACACAGATTTTTCTTCCAATCCTTATAAAATCTGTATTTCATGAGTGCAATTATTTTTAGAAACATTCTCAGATTTAGGGTGAATATTGCAAAATAAGCTGTTCAGACAGCCAATATCTAGAGTTATAACAAAGTATTACTCCAGAAAGGAGCTCAGAAAGTCAAAGGCAGATATAAAGCCACTCCTGAAAATGGGAATGCTTGAGTCTGTTTAAATATAATAGTGAAAGGGAATGGAGAGATTACATCACATCTTCATTAAAAAGCTATTTTAGAGAGCAGTAAGAGGAAGTTGTTTTAAATGTAGAGTAGATGGGGTTTTTCTTGTGGATCCTACACAAACCAGATTCTAAGTTACATCTTTTTGTCACCGTCTACAGTTGTGTTATACACTAACACTTTCTATTTTTTTCAAATACAGACAGCAGATTTGAGGAATGGGAACTGACTCTGAAGACTGAAAAATGGGATTTGGCTAAGAGGGCTTCATAAATCAGTTCAGACCAGTGTGTCCTTTATCTCTCACATTGTGTTCACCTCCAAAATAAAGCTTCTTTTTTATGAAAAGCTCAGGGAAACCTGTGTCTGACCCTCATTCCTACAAGGACTGCTGTATGGAGCTTCTTCAGAAAATAGGCTGATAGAGAAAACAGAGCAATGATACCTTTATTTTTCCTTCAAGATTGCTAGTTGGAGGGACACAGAAGAAAATAGACAAGACATAAATCAAAACTAATGAAATAAGCTTATTGCCTTGACTGCTGGAATGAATCTAGCTTCTGTTGCTGAGAGTTATTCTGCATCTGATGCCAGAACTGGGATTGCTGTGCTGGGGTTCACAACACTTGTGAAAACCTACACAAGAGGACACTTTGTGCACAGCAGTGCTCAGGTTCCTTGTATCCTGACTTGTTGAGGAAAAGGGTCTGAAGTAGATACTCAGAGGGAGAAAATGTTGGCAGATTCCTGCCGGTATAAAGCAGACCCATCCCTTTATGGCTGTTGAACACCTGAAGTGGCAGTTGTCAACATGACTGAACGAATGCTGGCAATGATCACCAGGCCGTGAAAAAGTAAACCCTGCAATGTAAAGCATTAAGAATGCAATAATTTCCACCTCTTAAAAGCAGGTCTCTAAAATGCTTTTATGCTCACTTGTCTTTCTCCTTAAACTGTGACTTTTGCTGCATTATTTACTTTCAAGGCGTAGGGCAAGTAGTAGGATTATGGAGAAGTATAAATTACCATGACACAGTAAGGGTCTGGAGACTCAGTGATAACACTTGGTAGTGCTTCCTCAATGCTCTGGTTAATGTTTACCTGTGGCAAAGGAACTATTTAGTTGCTGATAACTTGGTCATAACTTTTGCTTTCAGTAGCAGAGCATGGTGTATTTGACGTGGTTTGAGAGGTTTTCTGAAGACACAAACCCAACTTTTGTATCAAGGTCAAACTCTTAGGAAACCTTCTTCTGTGGTGCTCGTTTTTGTCTCAGCTTGTTGAAAATGGCGGGTGTAAGCAGCTGCATGAAGTATTCCATGTTCATCTTCAACTTTTTATTTTGGGTAAGTTCATGTTTAAACTGTTATTAGTGATGTATAAAATGTGTTCACCATTATTTGAATGCCGCAGTTAAAGGAATTGTAAAGAAAATAGAGCATAAGTGGAACCAGAGTATGATTCTAAACCAGGGAGGGGAGAATATGTTTTAACTGTTGCCCTTCCCTTTGTCTTTTTCCTTCTAAATACCTTTCCTTACATATTCAAAAGTAGACAAACCAGAAGTCTGTCTCCCTGTTCATATTGTGCCCCTCATGTCAAGGGACATTACTCTTCTCAGAAGATAACAGACTGTCCGCTTACAGTTCTCTTCCTTTTATTGTCTGCCTCTTGTGTCCAAATGGTATGATCTTGAAAATGTAGTTGCAACAGAAGATATGGAAAATTTAGTAGATTTTTTAGCCTCCTAATTGATAAATGGTTTTCATATCTTTCTTGGTGCTTCTTTGCTTTACATTCAGTAGATAATTTGTTTTTGGTGGTGGACAGTAAATGTTTGTAAGATGGTATGAGCTGGCAGTATCACCAATAGCTGTATCAAGGACGATAGAGAACGGGGCAGCAGGCAGATTTCTAGGTGTTATTTGAACCGTATTTGTCTATTTATAACATCTCAGCTGGTTTGCAAGAATTTCAGGTCCTGGAAGCTCTGGAAAGGTTTGAATTAAAGAACATTTCTCTCATGCTTCAACCTCACTGTCTGGTTTCCTGACAGAGATTTGTCAGGTTCACCAGAGGTTCACTGAAACCAGAAGTGGAACTACTAGCCACATTATGGGCTTTGCCTCAAGAGATTTTTTACAAGTGGAAAGGTGATACCATTCAAAAGGGACCACAAACAGTAGCCCTGGAAAATTTGTGGCTAGCCAAAATGAGAAGAATTAGCAAAATTCTTTGATAGTTGTGGACCTTATAAAGAAATTCCTGACAGGCTGGCAAGGGTTTGGACTGTCTCCCCCATTTTCTCCCTCCACCTCTATCAAGGCAGATTGAAGATATCTGACATTTGTGTTGAAGTTTTTCTGCAACAATGCTTACAAAAATCCGTACATTTCTAAACTGGAATTCCTGCCCCTCAGGAAGTTTCTCCTGTTGTGGTTCGACCCCAGCCAGCAACCAAGTACCACACAGCCACTCACTCACTCTCTGACCAGTGGGAATGGGAAGAGAATCAGAAGAGTAAAAGATAGAAAACTCGTGAACTGAGATTAAGACAGTTTTGTAGGGAAAATAAAAGCCATGCATGCAAACAAAGAAAAAAACAAGGAATTAATTCAGTACTTCCCACGGGCAAACATGTGTTCAGGCACCTCCAGGAGAGGGGGACCCCATCATGTGTGACAGTTACTTGGGAAGACAAATACCATCGCTCCAGACATCCCCCCTTTCTTCTTCTTCCCCCCATTTTATATGCTAAGCATGATGTCATATGGTATGGGATATCCCTTCGGTCAGGTGGGGTCACCTGTCCTGACCACGTCTCACATCTCTGTATTATCAACCCTGTGCTCAGCACAAATCAAAAACCCAGCCCCATACTGGCCAATATGAAGAAAATTAACTTTACCCCACCCAAACTCAGCACACCTGTTCACATTCATCCGTATTTACTGTAAGCTAAAACAGGGGCAAATGCCTCAGACTAGCATTAGAAAAGTTCCAAACTACTTCTGAAATGAGCATTTGAACAATGCCCCATGCCTCCAGCACTGGTGGTTTCCTAGGGATTAAAAGAAAGGGGTGTGATCCTGGGGGAGTCTTGAAAGAAGCAACTTTCCATCTTTATGCCAAAGGTGGAAAATCCATACTCTAGTCTGAGGAAGAATATGCTGAGAGCATTTGCTTTTCATGTGACTGCCTGGATGGAAGAGACAAGGACAGGAATGTAGCTGTAGTTAATTATTTTAAGGGAAGGTATTCAGCACTATCACAACAGGGAAGAATGGAACAGAGTAGGACAGGCATGCAGCCATATTTAAATTTTTTAAAATAAGGTGTTTAGCACTATCAAGATTGGAAAGAACAGATGTGGTGCAAACAGGAATATGTGTTCAAGCAGTACGATGAAAGTGAATGCTTTGGTTCACATTCCAGTCTCTAATTCCTGGAAATCATTAAATTGCTGATGTAAGGTAGAGGGAGCAGTGATTACTCCACATCCCTTAGTCCCACAACTGCTCTCTCTAGTGCACAAAGCAGTTGACAAGTGGAAAATTACAGATAGTGGGAAATGAAGGTTAGTTTAACCTTAACTAGATAAGAACGGCAGTTGCATATTTACCTGGTGTCCTTTCGCTTCACACCCTTTGCAATCTTCTGGGAGTGTCCCCTCTTACAAGGGGACACTCAGGAACGGCCTTCCTAGCCTTCTGGTGCCTTTTTCTAAGCAGCTGTTACAGCATCACACTAAGTGTATAAGCCCTGGAATAGTCTAAGATAGCTCTGCAAAGTGACTATGGCTTCACTACATGACGTGTCCCCTGGTAATCTAGAGCCCCATAAGCCCCATGCTGGGCTCCATCATATAAATAGAGTTTTGCATCTTCCCAGTTTGGTGAAACATAGCTGACCATGGGTTTTTTAAGACCTGTGCTTTGGAGCTGGGTGCCTATATGAAGCTTCTAATAGTCCTTAAATTAATCCTTGTCACTTTTGTACATTAAACCTGACCCATATTAAAATATATATACTCCTTACTAAAATTTTGATTTATAAGTGATGTTTCTTCTTTTCCATGGAGGAAATAGATATTGTAGTATTACCATCTGATTGGTAAGTTCCTGTACATTTAGCTATATTTACTTTTCCTACTGTGCTGTGTTTTTATGGGAGGTCCTATGTAAGAAAAAAGGCAGTGTACCAAATTCTGTTTGGATTTGTAGCAATGGATGCATCAGTGGAAATTTTCACGTTAGTGAGCCCATGTTATCTGATGGATAGCCACATTGCTTACACAGTGCTGCTGAATGAGACCCAAAAGTAGAGTCCTATGATACAATCAGTTTCTAGGCAGATTCAGTGGGATTCTCAAGGTTTCACTGGGAGTTCTAGTTAAATTTGATAACATTTTATAGCTGTCATTGATTGTATAGCTTTCCTTTTCATGTTTAAAATGTACTTACAGGAGCTTTACTTAGAGTAGGAAAATATGTGGTACTCATGTCTAAGTGCTGGCTCTGTTCCATATTAAATAATCTGCTGAAGTCATTATGGTCTTTGATGCTGAATATTATATGCAAACTTTTGAGGGGAAGGTATTTTTAAAGAAAAATTATCTAAAAGACATAAAAATAATTATTTTAATTTTAAAAGGTTAAGAATAGTCCCAGCCTTCATGGGAAACTCATAACAACATTTCAGGACAATTTATGACTTCACTATTAATGGCATACAAGAAGATAATTCTAAATATGACTAGTCTCTGGTCCTCAGTGATCTCTCTTTCCTACCAATTGTCTCAGTAGGCACAATACTGATTCCTCATTAGCCTCTTAATTACCTGTCTACAACATCTAATAAAGAGAAATTCTGTGTAAGAATCATGATGGACAAGGCTAGGAATAGGGTGACTGTTGCACAGTGGAACAGCACCTCGATGATCAATGAAACAGGAGCTCAATTAGTAGTGAGGGAATGTATCTGTACCTGGGATTCATCTTCGCTGACTTCAGCATCTTAAAGCAAGTCATGCTGGTCTAACATTCATATGTACATGACCAAGTATGGTTGTTTTCTGTAAAAATATAACGGAAATAATTACTTCTGGCATTTTACGAGGACTATTCTAAGGATTGGAGATGGCCAGATACTGCTGCATTGGAAACAGCAGAAAGACTTTATTTAGAACTTTTCCTGGTAGTTTTACCATAGAGAATATGTCTCTAGATATGTGTCCTGAATAAATCTAGAAACAACATTTATGCAAACATCCCTTATCAAATCCTATGTTCCCATTATACAAGAAACAACATTCTTTACAGACGTTATATACGTACAATAGCAATTTATATTCCCCTTGCATCTGACAGAATTTCTGGGTGCTTCCCAACCACATGCATAAATCATCAAAGAAATGTGTAGTCTTCTGAGGCAGAAACATCAGGGATTTGGTGCATACCTGAAGATCCAAATTTTCCTGGATATGAATCAATATTCTATGCTCCAGCAATTCATGCTTCTTTCACTTTGCCAAACAAATGATTTCAGAAGTTTAGACAGCATCTGGTGCAATTTGGATATTGAACATTAGTCAAAAATTGCTGACTTTTCTAACTTGCCTTTGTTTTCTCCTGCAGTTGTGTGGTTCCATTATTTTGGGAGTCTCCATATGGATACGTGTTAGTAAAGATGCTCAGCAGGTAAATGCATGCAGTCATACCAGCACCATGTAAAATGTGGAAGCTACTACATACACTTTAATTTACCATCTTCATTTCCAAAAATTTTCTATGTTTTTGTTGAGGTGGTTTGTGTGGGTAAAGATTAATGCATTTTATGACGTTAAGATTAAACAATATGGTGCAGGTAGTCAGATAAAGTAATTGATGCAAACAGAGATATGTGACTACAAGAAGTGTCTGCTAGTGTTATTAATGTAGTTTCATGCAGATGCATACAGATTTCTGTTTGAAAGCATGTGTCTCTCTCCCCTAATGGAAACTAATGATGTTACTGATTTCAGTGTTAGAATAATGAGGAGCTATGCAGCTCATAGGTTCTCAATGTTTTTCCCTATTAGAATATATAGTCATATATATTCCTAGGGTTTCTTCATATATTTGTAGGGGATATTTTTACCTTTCAATAACACAATTCTTATTTTCTTAGTAACTGCAACTTTGAAAGGGAGCAAGGATTTTTCTCTTCTGTTTTCAACAGCTCCTTAAAAACACCTTATCCTTCTTCCCTCATATTTATATAGAAAGAATTTTAGTTACCAAAAAACCTTTACTTAGAATTCATAGAATTATAGCATCAACCAGGTTGGAAAGGACCTCTCAGATCATCAAGTCCAACTCTTGATCCACTATTGCTGTGGTTATGAGATCATAGCACTCAGTGCCACATCCAGTTTCTTCTTAAAAACCTCCAGGAACAGAGAATCCACCACTTCCCTGGGCAGCCCATTCCAATGTCTTATTACCCCCTCTGTAAAGAATTTCTTCCTAATATCCAACCTAAACCTCCCCTGGCACAGCTAGTGTTGTCCTACTGCTGGTTGCCTGGCAGAGGAGACCAACGCCTACCTGGCTACAACCTCCTTTCTGGGAGTTACAGAGAGTGATGAGGTCTCTCCTGAACCTCCTCTTCTCCAGGCTAAACAACCCCAGCTTACTCAGCCTCTCCTCACAGGACTTGTGTTCGAGTCCGTTCACCAGCCTGCTTGCTCTTCTCTGAAACTGCTCCAGCACCTCAATATTCTTCCTGAACTGAGGGGCCCAGAACTGGACACATTAAAATGTCCTGACAGCCCTCCTAGAGGGGAGAAGAGTCCATGAGCTCCCCTCCTGAATTTTTTTATAAGGGTTATTAAATTATTTCAGACTTTATGACTTTATTTTCTTCAAAGCTAGGGAAAATACAATTTTTGAGGAGCCCTTGGTATTGCAGACGTGCAGCAGAGGTTGGTCCTGTTGGTGCAAAGGCCCTTTGCTCCCCTGGGCCCTTTTGTCCAGTGTGCACCCAGTGCCACTTACTCTAAGGTTTAAGCAGTATATTCCTTCATGTGAATTCGGGCATATTAATAGAAATTCGGGGCAATTAATAGAAATACAAATTAATTGGAAAATTTAACTTTTATTCTTCTATTTTCAAAAAGGTTTTCTGGCCATAAAAGTGAAAAAATGGCCTGATGGGAGATGGAAACATTGCTTTCAGCTTTCAGTTTGAGGCTTTAGTATAGATTAAGTTGCAATTCTTCAGATCACTGCCCTGCTGCTCTAGCACAGTCCATCAGTTAAGAATAATAGTTTTTAAGTCAGTATTTTCCCATCTCGTAATAAAAAGATGGTGGAGATAAGAAAATAGCTTTATATATCTCTTGCCATTTGGCTGACTGTCGCATTTAGCCAGTCCCAGATGTCTCATGACTGGTAGGGGATGGATGCAAGAGAACTTGGTTCATGACATTGTGTCATTGGATAAATTAAGTCATGGTGGAAAGCTCTGCCATTCTGTCCTGTGGAAAAGGAAGAATGACAACTTTCACTCCTCAATCAGTATTTTTCTAGAAGCTAAAGTTGCCATACTTGGTAGTTGACAGTCTCTAATATGATGCCTCAGATGGTAAAATGGAGCTTGGAAAACCACAACCACTATTATCCTTTCTTATTTTTTGAGAGATTTCCTATTCAGAAAAGCATACTTAAATGTGTGACAAAATGCTTTCCTGAAGTGACACTTAGTACTCCCCAAAAACCTGTGAATTAAAAGTACGGACCAAAATTGAAAGAATTTTCTCACATTTTTGCTTCCAGGCAGGGAAAGTTCTCATTCAAAACCAATGTATATTTCTCCTGAGTAATAATTGAGCAGAGCATAAGGATTTGGCTGTAGATGAATAGAGCTTTCTAAGAATAAATAACAGGAGGTTCAGTCCAACTTGGAAGGGGAAAGAACAACACATTCTTCAAATTATACTTGTCTATATACCTTTGCAATTATCAGAAGATAAATGTGACAACTTCCAGACATTTTTGCTAATCTTGGCACCAGTCACACTGGAAAATATTCTTTGAACATTTTCCTCTCTTTTGGCCTTTGGCCTTAGTCAGTCCTGTGGGAACTGAATAATTTGATATTTTATAATATTGAGGTATATGAATTGTTTAGTGAATGGCCCACACATCAAAATAAAGTCCTCATCTATGAGGGTAATATTAGAGATCATGCCTGAGAAAAAAAGGAAAAATAAAAGCTCCTTTGGAAAATACACTTATTTCTCTAATATATCCAGCATTACTCTGAGAAGTGTTCTCTCAGGAACAGCCACGGAGTATGTTCCTGGCATTCTAATGACAAACAGAGGTTTTGTTTCTTTAGCATTTGGTTAATGTAGGAGACGATTTGAGATAATCAAATTTGCTACTTCCAGTAAAAAGCAAAGATTCATCAACTGAAAGCCAACTGAAAACCACTTTAAAGACAAGACATATTTATTTACTCTGTGAAGCTGACTTTCATCTTGAGCAGAAACAAAGGTTGTGAAAAGCCAGGTTCTATTGAGCTCTCCAATAAAATGCTTAAGGTAGCATTAGAGCTTTGTTTATTTATGAATTTCTCTGTGGTTGCCAAACTGTTTACTTATCAGTTATGAAGTGATTCTCTTGTTTTGGGGAATACAGATGTTTTTAGGAGGACCTTTTCTTGTAGCTGAAACATTTTTTTCCTCTCATTTCAGGAGCTGGAGATAGACAGCAGCCTGTTTGCAGGCGTTGATCTGCTGATAGCCGTGGGCTCCATCATTATGGTCCTTGGGTTTCTGGGGTGCTGTGGTGCTGTAAAGGAGAGCCGGTGCATGCTGCTTTTGGTAGGAAAGAGAAACGTTTGTCTACCTTTAACAGGCCACAGCTACGTTTGATGGATAAAGTCCTTGCAAGTAGTATCAAATGAGGATGGGAGCCTTTTAGTTTAACCAAAAGCATTTTTATGATCATGTGTTATCATTGCTTATCTTGAGCTTGAGCCTCTTCTGAATTCTAGCGTGGTAAAAATGGTGGGTGGTCTCATCAAAAAATGACAGGGTCCAGAGAGACTTGAGCTTTTTTTCCATCCATCCATCCATCCATCCATCCATCCATCCATCCGTCACAAAAGTTGCCTCCATTAATCCTTCCCCATTACCTATCCCATTTAATTTCATGAATTCCCAGTTGCTCCCTTTGCTGGTCCACCTAGAATATCCTCCTGTGTCCTCCTGACCTGACAACTTTCACATACACGCTGTCCATCTCGGCACCTCTCTGGTGTGCACCTTGTTTTCATCATCAGCTGAGCATGCTCTGTCTCGAGCACCCCATTTTCTTATTGCCAAAGAAGAAATAACTGGAGCAGCTCTGACTGGAACTGCATTCTACCTATATGGTTATTCAAGCACATGAAAGACTAATGGTAGTTTAGAAGAAATTATGTCATCTTGGTTGAAAGTACTATAGTTTTCTCCCCCTTTTGTTTTTTTCTAGTTTTTTATTGGACTGCTTCTGATCCTGATTCTTCAGGTCACAGGAGGTATTTTAGGAGCAGTGTACAGATCTCAGGTACAGTATTATTCTATATTTTCATTGATGTCTTCCCAGAGTTTTATTTGTACCCCAAAAATAATAATATATTTTAACTTGCAGGCTGAAAAAGTCCTTGACGAGGCTTTAATGAGTAGTGCGAAAAAACTGCAAGGCTCCACACAAGATTCTAAAGCATTTCAGGAGAAGTTCCAGAAATTTGAGAGAGAGGTAATTAAAAAGCAATAAAGGGCGGGGGTTGTTGCTGTCTGTTCCATCTCTGGCATTGGTCTCTGCTTCATTTTTTGACTACTCTGCTGTAGATTTGAATTTTATTCCTTGGGAATGGGGAAGGGTCTGACTTAAAGGCAAGTTAAAACACTACAGAAGAGGCTTCTGTCTCTTGATATTTGGTCTTTCTGTAATGTTTTCTTTGTACAATAGTGTTTATAAGAGCTATGAAGCTATGAAGCAAGGACACACAACATGCAAGTGAGGCTGACAGTTAGCTAAGGTTTTTCATGAGAAGGCTGCCTGCTCCTTCATTATAGCTTTCCCTTCTGAAGGAATATTGATCTTTCACCATATCCCAAATAAGAACTATCCAGTACTCCTGAGGAAAGACTACGCCAGGGATGAGGAAAACTTCAGGAGTGTAGTAAATTTTGGAAAATCCTATTGTCATTAAATGACAAACCTTACTGTACGAGAAGGGGAAAGAAAATATGAAAAGAGGTTTGTTTTGATTGTACTTACACTTTTTCTGGCTCCCCCCAGCTGCAAGACTCCAGCAGATGGACACTTAATGCCAGCTTATTCCTAGGTGTCACACAGAGAATACCCTTGAATCTCACTGAAATCAATGACAGTGTAAAACCTTTCCCCTTCCACTAGCACACAGATCTGTACATTGACAGAATGCCTGCTGTTTGATTTATTTTTTTAGTCCCTAATGGGTGATGACTTTGATGGATAGACTTATAGATAATTCCTAAGTTCTTAAATACTGCTGCACGAAAGAAAAAGAAGAAAGAAACAATATTTAGGTGTCTTATGTTACTTCCACTTCTTCTTTCTCATTCCACCCCCAGTCTTGTCCTCTGCTTCTGACACAGCTTATTTCTTCTGATATAATAGGCAACTCCCTGGAGAGATGATTGAAGGATGAGCAAAATAAAAAGTCCCATAATTACTGTATTAATTTTCAAATAGACCAGGACTGGTTTGTTGTGTCCCACAGCCTTTGCTTTTATACAAAATTATGTGAACATTCCCAGCTGCTTTTTAAAAAAGGGAGGACCTCAAACCCAGGTCTGCACCCCTGAGCTTTAGTGGCTTGAATAAAGTGGAACATGAAGTGAAAGTGCACCTAGTTTAGGTTTCAAAAACCCCAAATTGAGCTCTTGTCTCCTCAGCCCATTTCTAATTTAAAGGGATAACGACAATTAAAGTGGTAATTTTTCTAGATTTCAGAGTTTTCTGTGCCTGAATTTTACATTTCCAGCCTGTTTTTTCAAGATGTGAAATGTGGATGTTATTGGAGCTGTTATTTACCTTCTGCAAGTACAACCTACAAAAAGAAGACTTGATTCTCAAAAAATACTATACTATACTATACCCAGTGTTGTTCTATATTCCAATTCCATTCTGCCATTGACAATTTTGGGTTTGTTTGTTTTTTTGTGTGTGTGTGTTTTTGTTGTTGTTGTTGTTGTTTTGTTTTGTTTTGTTTTAACTTGTTCACTTTCATTCCTATAACTAGTATGGAAATCACAGAATCACAGAATATTCAGAGTTGGAAGGAACCCACAAGGATCACTGAGCCCAACTCTTAGCCTTGCACAGGACCATCCCCAAGAGTCACACCAAATGTAAAGGGTGGTTGCGACATACCATTTTGGGTCAACTTCCACATGATAAAAGATGAAAGAAAATTTGTCCTTCGTTGTTCCTCTCAGCTCTCTCACCTACTGTCCTCAAACTGAAAATCACTACTTTTTTCCTTCATCTCCCCATTTCCTCCTTTCTTTCAGAACCAGTGCTGTGGATTGCTGAATGGACCTAAAGACTGGGGAGACAATTTTAAAAACCCTTCCGGTAGCTATAAAATCTGTCAGTGTGAACTAGAGAAGCCATCACAAGACGTTTGCACTGACTTTGAAGGCAGACTGATCTATAAAACGGTAAGAAAAATGTAATGTTCCATCTTCTTTGCAAAAAACAAAGTTTTAGCCCAAGGTTGTCTTTGGTGACTGGCATACTCAGCAGTTCTGTATCTGTCCAAAAGAGTAAAGTTTTGTTTAATTTTCTTTACCCAGATGCCTCTGTGCCATTTGTCAAAAAATTACTGTGAATACATGAAATACTCTGCTCCTCCCTCTTCCTGGGTTTCCTCAATAGTCTGCATAGTTACTACTGGTGAAAACTATTATGGCTTTGAGGCCAGGATGTACCTCTGGGTCAGAGTAGCATGTCAGCTACCCTTTGGCTCTCATTCCTACCTCAGAAGGTTATATTCCCACCCAGGCTCATTCTGGTAGTAGATATGTTGACTCAGAGATTTTCAAACTGCTAAGGGATATTGAAAAATGAGCTCATTAAATGCAAGACCTTTGGAGTTTTATAACCTTTAATAAAAAAACCCATGCTCATTTTGCAGGATCTGCTGGAAAGAAACCTTACATGTTATAGGCTTCATGGCAACATACTTAAAATGTGATTTCTTACAACTACAGCCTTTTGAAAACCTTGTAACAATTAGTAAGACAAAAATATCTGATGACAGGCAACAAGAAAGCATACTAAAAAATTGGTAGGTGGACAGTGAAGATCTCAACTAGTTCATTTCATTTTCAAGGAAACTCAGGTTCTATGCATATGTAAAAAAAAAATAAGGAAAAAAAAGGTTCACAAAATAATTTAATTTTTAAGATGCTAGTAGTGCAAAGTTTGCCAGTGTGCATCAACCATAATGCTGACATTAGCTGATGTCCATTCTGGTTGTACCATGCTGTAAATGCACAGCTCTTTAGTCAGGTTCTGCCTGAACAGCACTTTCCTTCCTGTATAGTCCCACAGAAGCAAATACTATTTTAAAGCAAAGGAACAGTCTGATTAAGTAGAGGATGCCAGAACACAATCTGGAAACAAGATGTATACAGAGAGGCTGTTTTGGCCACATTTTTGGCCTTGGGCAAACCCTCAAAAGATACATGAGAAGCCATCACTGAAATTCGGCAGGTGCAAGATGTTGTTCACATGAACTCAAAGATTTCATAGTGATGTGAGATGCTAGTAGAGACATCCAACTCTTGTGATCTGTGAAAAAAAAATTTGAAGGTCAGTGCAATTCTGAGTCAGCTTAAATGAGAGCATTTTTTAGATGAACAAGAAGACACGGGTCTTCTATTTTGAGGGAGGAAATACGGTGAAATAATATAACTATATTCAGGGGGAAGGTAGTTGTAGTGCTGTAGCAGTAATGTGATTTTGATGAATTTAAGCTGTACTGGGGTTTCATTACAGTGTGCAGAAGCATTGTCAATGCCTGGAGAAGATGTAGTTATTATAACAAATGTATGCATATATTCAAAAGGAGAGTAGTTTTGCATAGAACTTCAGTTATGATCACTCTCTTCCTTCCACCCCCAGCTCAAGACCATAAAACATTTGACAAAATTAATTTTTAAGCCCGTTTTTGTAACCAAATATTTTTAGTTGAGCCTGACTCTAATAATAAGCCTTCAAGTTTCAAATCCAAAGATCAGATTGGTGGGAAACTGAAGTTCTCTTTCAGATCTGGTCATGGCTGCACTGGCTCTTTCCTAGCAGTGAATAGTTATGAAGTGAAAGTAAGAAGAAACACTTCTTTCCTTGTTAACTGAAAATCATGCAAACATTAGGCATTACAGTTGTCTTTGTTTGAAACTTTATCTTTTTATGGTCAGCTACTAAATTAATCTTCATATTTGGGAAGGCGATGACTCGGTGTCTTTCTCAGAGCATAAGATAGCTGTGTTCTTTGTTTTCATTAGCAACAAATAGCCTTTCTTTAACAGTGAGTTAAAGACAGAAACCATGGGAGAGTTGTTTTAGCAGATGCATTCCTAGTATTAGGATAATATTAGGATAATATTGCTTACCTGTAATTAATAATTTTGTCTTATTTTCAGCCTTGTGGAGAAGTGATTGTCAAATACATTAAAGATCATCTGGTCATAATTATGGGGATCGCCTTTGGACTGGCTGTTATTGAGGTATGAGAATACACCATTAAAGTATTTAGTAGCCAATAAGTAATATGTTCTTCTTAGAAATACATTGGAAAAGGGATTAAAACACCTGGCTTGCTCAATTAATAGACAAGGGAAAACCACCTCTCACCTTTTCTATAAATCTTACTGTTATTTCATATAAACAATATATGGCTGCTGTGCTATGAACTTCAGGTGAGATCAGACCACCCTGCTGCCTGTGCAAGCTTATCACATGGGAATTTTTCTGCAAAAAATTGACAGTCCTGGAGCCAGGCTGTGCCTTCACAGAGAGCCCTGTGGACAGAGGGGCATGTGCATATATATAGCTCCAGAAGACATGAGGCAGAATAGCCAGACTTTTCCTCTTCTTTCTCTTCTTCTTGTGAGGAAAAACTCATCTCCTAAGAAAACTTAGTCCCTAAACTACATATTCACATCATGGAGAAATTGTAGAACTAAATTATAATTCGGAGGCATACTTTAGCCGTCAAGGTGGTCCATGAATGTGTCTGAGTGCCCACCTGTGACGCTCCATGTATTCCTGTGTGTAAAAAAATTCAGAGTATGTGAACTGTTTATTTTAATTGCCTCATCATACACTGAAGAATAGCATGCAAGATTTTCTCTGAAGAGAGGAGGAAAATAGGTGAGGTTATCCAGTCAGCTACTTGATTTGGATTTGGAGAAAATGACAAAGAAATGGGATTTCATCATGTTGCTTTCTTTGGTAATTTATTTTCCTTTTCATTCTTCCTCCTTGGTTTATCTCCTTCCCCACTCCCAACCAGTGAATGTTTGAGGGGAAAAGCAGAAATGACAAAGATTGCTGTGCAGAATTCATTCTGTTATTCTACGCAAAAACTTCTTAATATCATTGGCAGAGGATTTCTCCTTGTGGTAGAAGAGTGGGCAAGAGCCCCAACTCAAAAATACATTTCCAGGAAAATAATAGTAAGCAGAGAAAAGTTAGCTAGCTGCAGCACTGGGAGGGAAAAGGCCACCAACTTCTTACTTGGCACAGACTTCATGGCATTTAAAAAGCTGTATGTGGCAGGTCAGGTCTCTCACTCATATGCTGGCTTTGGGGAAAAATAGGTGAAATACACAAATGTTAAAAAACCTTAAAAATATAATAAAATTGTAAAATTGCATCTGTATTCCTAAGGCAAGTTATAAGTCACTTTGCTCTAGTTACTGCAGTTACGTGAGTTGTAGCCTTCAGTTCATTGCCCATCATTCTTTCTTGTTCTCCAGTTGACATTTTGTGTGGTGGCTGCCTCTCCCAGTCATAAAAGGATTAAAACCCAACATGAATAAACAATATGAGCCTCAGCTGGTACAAATTGCCAGCTGGCAATTTATACTTGATAAACATTTAGCCTTTTCAAATATATTAACTTATTATGACTTCTCAAGCAATTGCAAATCAAAGGTCACACACTTAACAACCTCTCTGCTCTGGAAAGCCCCAGATAAAAAGAAGCACTCTTCCCCTCTCTGTCTGCTCCATTATACCACTTGTGGACTGTTACTGGTTTCAGCTCACCCTACTAGTGGAAATGATACCGAAAAGAAGGGCCCAGTTTCACTTGGGCGCAAGTGAAAATATGAGCATGCTCTGTCAGTTTATTCCAGCTGTGAGTCCATCCCCTTGTCTTAGCTGCACCCCTGTGTTACATATGATCTTCTCTACCTCTTCCTTAAGTAAATTAAGTATGCCAGTGTTCATGTCTTCATAAATCTCAGTTGGATGCTTTCCAATTTTGTGGAACACCTTCACAGACCGGCCAATTCTAAATCTGGAAGGAAACTTTCTGACGTTCTGATCTCACCAGCTGTCTGTCACAGGCTGTGGAATTTCACCCAGTAATTCCCACCACAGAAGGTGACCCTAATGAATTTTCTATTCTAAGTAACAGCTTCTTCAGTGGAATCAGTGTTCCTATCTCAAATCTATTACTGATGAATATAAAATATTACTTCCATGACAATTTGTAACTCAAAATGATGGGGTATGTGTATAAATGTGTACCTGTATACAATAGGCACATGTATATGTATACCTGTAGCCATAATACTTTGCACATATATTTACAAAAAAAGAGAGTGACAGTGGAAAAGAAGAAAGATTTCAAAGGGAAATGACCCTTAGAATACACAGTGAAAGTTCCTCTAACTTTATTAGAAAAGAAAATACTCAATTTTTGTCTGAATTTCTTGAACTTCTAAGTAATTGCTACTCTTTTCAGCTAACAACTGCATTTTAAACCCCCAGAACTACAGGGTTTTCCCAACCACAGAGGCAATCCATCTTTTAAACAAATGAAACTTCTCCATCACATTTGCAGTCTTACCTATGGTACATACTGACTTGATTAAAATGGCTCTATTCTGTAGTCATGTTCTTTAAGAGTTACATCGGAAAAGATCTTCTGCATAGCAGATTTAGCCTACATGTAAATCTAAGACATTTGCAAACAAAATATTCTCACTGTGTATCAGTTGTATCCAGGGATTTCCAGAACAGCCAAGTAATACCAGAAATGTCTTTGTTTTCCAGATTCTTGGTTTGGTGTTTTCTATGAGCCTCTACTGCCAGATCCAGAGAAAATGAAACTGTGGAAGTGACAGAATGACATCACCAGCCAAATAGAAACAGTTCTAGATAGAAGGATATTTGGCTTGTGACATTCAGACAACTATACACATGATCCAGGCAGCTGTTCTGATGCAAACAGCAGCCTTGCACATGTGGATACTTCACAATTTTCAAAATGACCTCTTTATTCTTCATAAGGCTTAATTATGTGAATACGAGTTTTAATTTGCAATAAACATGTTTGTTTATGTTTCTGAGGTGTTTATTTTGTCCAAAGACAGCATTTAAGTCACGTTGAGATTCCGAGTTCACCATGCAGTGTGCCTACAGAGGTGTTACACCACCCTTAGCAGCGTCACCGTAAACAGCTGCAAATCATCATGCAGTGGCTGACTGCTCTGGGGAACTCAGGCCCCCAGGCAACTTTGCTTGTGGGTCAAGGCATTTTCATCAAGAGAGTCACAGCTCAGTTTGACATTTGATATTGTCAGTGTTTTGTTACTTGTGAGAAGTCCAGGGACTAACTTGCATCCAAATAGGAAAGCTGTGTTTCATTTCAGGGATGTTTAAATAAGTGTAGCAAATGAGATGGTGACCCTCAAGTCCAAATGATGCTTAGGTGGCATGCATGAGCTGGATTTGGTGGCACCTCTTTTACCAGTAAGCATCAATGGTGAAAACCAAGCCCAAGTGGAGACAAGCTGTATGCAGAAGTCATGTGGGTGAGGCTTCACCTGGAGCAGCTCAGGTGAGCCATGGGCTTCACAGCAGTGAGTGGACTAACACAGGACACACAGCAGCAGCCATATAAAGCCTGTCTGCCTTTGAACTGACTAGTGTGTGCAAGTGTTGGGGCCCTGAGGTGCTTACAGCCCTGACTGTCCCTGTCCATTGCCCTGGGGTTCCCCCAACACTGCACATGGCCCAGGACCCCATGTCAACCTCCTGGGCTGGTTGACCCCTGCCTCACTGATGTCGTGGCAGGGCTGGTCTCCAGCTCCCTTGCCTAGCCATGGGGTCCCACCAAGCTAGGCCAACCCATGGGCCTGTGTCCTGGTCTGGCCTCGGCCAGGAAGTCCCTAGTGCCAGGGACTGCGGCCTCCATGGTGCACTCCCTGCTCCATTTCTGACTGGGATGGAGGGATGGGCCCTGCTGCCAGTCTCTGCCCTGCCTCTCCAGGGGAACGAAGTGCTGGTCTAGGTTGCTTCCTGACAGAAAGCAAATGGCATGAGGAAGAAGATTTTTTAAGATACAAAGATATCTGATTAAGCCCATGGGGACCTGGTGAGGTTTTCCACAGCATGCTGATGGCCTGCCTGCTCTGTGTTGGGTTGGGTGATTTCATCAGCCCCACTAGAAAACCATCTTCTTCTGTAGGAACAGCTTTCACAGAATCACAGAATATGCTGAGTTGGAAAGGACCCTCAAGGATCATCGAGTCCAATCATTAGCCCTGCACCCATTCCCAAGAGTAGCACCATGTGCCCAAGAGTATCAGACAAACACTTGAACTCTGCCAGGCTTGGTGCTGTGACCACTTCCATGGGGATCCTGTTCCGGACTCAACAACCCTTCGGGTGAAGAACGTTGTTCTAATATCTAACCCAAACCTCCCCTGACACAACTTCAGGCCATTCCCTTGGGTTATGTCACTGGTCACCACTGCCCCTCCTCCTCCCCTAACAAGGAAGTTGTAACTGCAGTGAGGTCTCGCCTCAGTCTCCTCTTGTCCAGGCTGAACAGACCAAGTGACCTCAGCTGCTCCTCACACGGTTTCCCTTCAAGACTCTTCACTATCTTCATTGCCCTCCTTTGGATACTCTCTAATATCTAATTATCTAATATCTAACAGCTTAATATCTTTCTTGCATTGCAGTGCCCAAAACTGCACACAATATTCGAGGTGAGGCCTCACCAGTGCAGGGCAGAGCAGAAAAATCACCCCCCTCGACTGCCTGGCAATGCTTTGCCTGATGCCCCCCAGATGCCCTCACTGCCACATGTAAGCAACCCATAGCTTTGGACTCCCCCTATAATCAATCAAGAGAAATAAACAAACCTAGGATTTGACCCATCTCATTCTAAAAGAGATATCCAAAGAGGTTAGATGAGTCATTTGCATTGCAAATAGGTGAAGTTGTAGTAAATTAATCCCACTCTATAATACTGAATTTGTCAGCATTAGAAACGGTGATCAATCAGGAAAGAGTATTAATACAATACTCCATGAAGGTGTATTGATTATTCATTGATTCGTTGACCTTTTTGCTCAGTTATAATCCAGCCTGCTAGGAAATGAGGCCTACTTACTCTCCAGGGTGGTAGGATAAGACTCATCTGCTGCGCACAATGCTGTAACAGAGATCCCAGCACCACTCCTTCCTGGAGTCCTCTTGGTATTCTTGTCAGAGAACATTTATAGTTAGCAAATTGACTCATAGCAATAGGGCATTTTTCTGAGTCCACAACCACTTTTTAATCATGATATCTGGGATTGCTGAAATGGAATTTGACAGTAAATCCTTGACAGAACAATAAAACCATAAGGGTTTTCTTTTGTGGGGTGTTGGGGAAGGTTGTTTGTGTTTTTTCATAACAATCTCATCCAAGATTATGTTCCTCTCAATTTTACCGAATAAAATCAAGCATACAGAGGAAAGATGTATGTTCAAGACCTTAGTGTATTAAATGGCAAAGGGATTAAAAACATTTATCATTATGGTCTTAAATAGCAGAAAAAAAAAAAGGAGTGGTAGGAAGAAAGACAATGTGTCCCTGCCTTTGCCAGGGGAGCTGAATCCCACCTTAAAACCAAGTCTATTTAACACACACTAGTGATTTATCGTGTTAAAGACAAACAACTATTGAATGGCTACACTTAAGTCAACACACCCGGTCAAACTATCTCCACAGAAGGATTCGCTACATTATTTAAGGGTTTTGGGGGGACGTGTTGTTCTCAGGATTGAAGTTGTGGAGAAAATGCAGCACGGATAGAAAAAGAAAGAAGTTATAGTTAATGGTAAAATATAAGTCAGTGAAGCAAAGTCAGAAACAATGAAGGAAATGTTAATAAGCCTGTTACTGGGGAAAAAAAAAAACAACAAGGAAGAAAAAGACAGAGGCAGATATACAAACACAAAGAAATATGGTTTTGAAAAAAATGAAAGAAGAATGAAGTAAAACAGAACAGGTCAATTTGACAGAAAAAAAATTATATATTGAGCTTATCAAGATCCAAGTGTTTGCTGCATTGAACTCAGCATGAGGGGAATTTGGCCCCAATCCACCTTTGTGTCCTAAATGTCATGTTGAAAGCCAATTCAACCTGTTCTTCATGCAATGCCAAATCTGCCCCAAATCTGGCTGGCTATCAGAGCCTCTGTGAAGCTCGGGCTCATCAGAGCATAGCTGGTAGACTAAGGGTAGGCTAAGTGACAGCTGTGCTAGCTGTACAGCTCCAGGGGATGCTTGAAGAATGAACCTGAGGAGGTGAAACTGCTGGCTTTCCCTCTGGAAAGGACATCATGACACTGTGAATCTGGCCCAAGTCTTTATAGAGACATGATTAAGTGAGGCAGTAGGGCTTATTTTTAAATTAAGATGGAGGATTATCAGTTTAAATTCTGACATAAGATTGAAATCACAAAATTAAAAGCCAGTATTTTTGGCTCTGCTGAAAAACCTGTCCTAACTGCTTAGCCCAAGGTTTTCTGGCATAGGAGAACTTAGCTGATTTAGACTGGATTCAACCCTTCTCATCTGAGGCGATATGTGACTTTGGGTTGTTTTGGTCAGTCAGTTATAGATACCTAATGTCACTCCAGGTCAGAGCCAAAACATCCCCCTCCAAACATTCAGGCTGGTGAAGCTGCCTGGACATTGCTCCTCCAAGAGGGATGCGAGATGTGCTGATCTGGGCAAATGTTACATTAGGACTTCGTCTGGGGACCAAAGGGAGGCTTGGATCTCTTCTGGCATCATCCATGGCAATTTGATTATTCTTTATATCAAAAAAAACTGGCAGGTTTTCTCCCCACCCTTGTCAACAGCAATATTCTCATCCTTTCACTGAAGGGCTCTCTTTTTGTGCAGTGGTTTGGATTAAATTCCTTTTTGTTCTTTTCAAGGATGTTCTCAGAGAGTTTCTTAAAACAGTCTCAAAGCATTTCAGCACACTAGCTCTTTACACTAAAATTCTATGAGCTTGCTAACATAAGAAGGTCAATTACTGATTTCCAGGGGCTGTTTTAAAAGGCCCAGTGTCAGTAGTTTCATATCTGCTATTAAGTGAACATAATGTATTTCCAAACTACTTCATACTGTGTTTTTGTGTTGTTTGTTATGATTTGTAAGAGCAGCTAAACCTAGGTTGATACATGCATACTGATATTTTGTTTCTGTAAAGCATTTTTTGCGGAAGTTTCAGCTGAATATAATACTTCACTGTAATACAAATGTTTCCTAAACTCTATTTCATTATATTAATGAATTAAAGTAGCAGCAACTCTCTGAAACATTAAGTCTATCACTACTCAACTTGACAGTGAGTTCTTTACTATTAAAATTAATTCAGATCAGGAAAGATCCTTTGTAGATTTGATTTGCTGGGGATGAGAAAGAAATAGAATTTACTTACTAGCGTCTCTGTTTAAAAAGTATCTTTAAAATGTATTGAGTTTTTCCCAAAAATGTTTGTTAAAACCATAGATGAAGAGATAAGCTTAGTAAAGCCTAATATCTCTATCACTGATTAGGAGTCTATTAAGAATAACAAATATTAGGAAGTAGAGCCATGCAAATGAATATTGCCTGTTCATCGAAGCCTCCATTATTTATTTCTGTTTCCTGCCTGCACAAGTGTCTACTGCTGTAAATACTGTTGAGATCCCCTGGCATGGGATTATAATAGACTCTTTCAAGAAAAGCAGTGACTGAGGAAATCGTTTATTAGAGTGTATATAGTAACAACAGTGTAAATAGAAATAGGAATGAATATACCAAACCAATATACCAGCACTGCATTACTATGTAGGAAGCAAATTGCAATCACTTCTCCTATTGCAGTAGCCAAGGAGCTGGGGAGCAGGCTGCCTTGATATCCTGGCCATTGCACTTCTGTATATGTTTATGGACAGTCAAACAGATACAGATGGAGTAGGGAGTAAGGATCATGCAGCAAAAAGGCTTAGAACATCAGAAAAGAAAGTGAATTATTAGCAGTTGCTGAAGGGGGCAGGTGACACACAAAGC